GTTTTCAGGGTGTTCAGGTGTCGACTAGCATTTGGTAGTCGATGACAGCGCCGGCTTAGCGTCGACTTGCATCGATTGGCGTCGATTTAGCGCCAGGTCTCGGCGATCAACGTCGACCAGCGTCGATATGACATGGGAGGCGCCCGCGAGCTGCCACCGAAGGCGTTTTGCCATGTTGTCAAGTTGATCCTTTGTTCCATCATCTTCGGGCCATGGACCATCACAGATCGACCCTGCCTGAGCAATGGCGTAGAGTGATGGGGGCCTAGGGATCTGGTCGTGTTTTTCACCATGTTGAAATTCATCGCAGTATTGGATCTCAGGTTCTTCTTGGCTGGAGGGTGGTGCTCGCCGGCCCAGCCTCGTCCTCGGCTGCTTCGTCCTAAAACGCGAGGTGGGGCATCCTCCTCCCTGAGGGGGCGGTGCCTCTCGAGGTTCGAAGGTACAAAATGTGGGCTGCCCGGTTGGGGATCGGTCGGTCGTCAGGGCCTCCCGTCGTCTAGTCTGTGGATTGCGTGTTCCGGAGTCAGTCGGGCGTCGTGGCCTCCGTGGTTTCCCGTTGTCACGGTAGACCACGGGAGAGTTCCGAACACGAATGCAAATCTTAGTATGGGGATCAATACCCGTAGGGGCATGAGTATAATGATGCATTTGTATGGGTACAGTTTCATTGACACCTATTGCACAGCCAGTCAGCAGGAGGAGAAGGATGAGCGCGATGACGAGAGCGAAGGACGAGTGTGATGGGCAGGCGAGAGGCGGGAGAGCGTCCCGTCGGCCGCTGAACTCGCAGGCCTCTCCTTCTACGGCCTGTCCAAGTGGCTGGCGAGCGCGAACGACCTGGTGCTGAGAGCGGACCACGCTGCCACCGCCAAGAACCCGAGGGCCGAGGACACTTGGCCCGCCTCCGCGGCGGCAGCGACGACCCCAAGCCGCCGAACACCTCCTCCGCCTCTTCCTCTGCCTCCTCGTCTCTCGTTCTCCTCATCTTCCTCGTCGTCCTGCTCCTTGTTGTCGTCCTTTGTTGTCGTCCTCCTCCTCGTCCTCGTCCTCCTCCACTGGGGGGTTCTAGCGTGCTCCCAGCCAAGCTTCGCGAATACGGACTGCCACACTCTTGGTAGGTGTGTTCTGGCAAGACCCCCGAGAGGGTTTCTGGCCGTTGCGGTGAGCTCCCTCCCAAGAGGTCCCAGAGGGGCACCCAAAGATATCAATCCTCGAGCGTCGATCGGCGACGACGGCGACGCCGACACCGCTGCCGACGACGACGAGGATGACGGTGGCGGCGGCGTCGACGACAACGGTGGCGGCGGCGGAAGCGGTGGTGGAAACGACGACGGCGGTGGCCGAGGACGTCGAGATCTTGGAGCGGAAGGACGAGCTCTTGCAGATTGCGGCGCGGCTGAAGCGCGCCATGGGCTCGCGCCTGGAGAGCCCGCAGCTGACCAAACGGGAGAAGCCCCTGGCAGAGGATGGTGGGACGACCAGAACGACCGCGCACAGGTGCTCGGCGGCCGTCGCCCTTCGGGCCGAATCCCCAGCGAGCGGTCGCTCTGGGCTGTCGGACGCCTCCGCCGGCCGAGAGCCGACATTGAGCGGTTTCCGCCGCCATCGAACAGCCGCGATCGTTCAAGGTCGGACTGCCCACGCTGTGTCCGAGAAGCCAACGGCGTCATCGCGGCATGAGGGCTTCATCGCGAACACCGCAACGCCTCGGGCGTCCGTGGGCGGGGCTTGCGCCTGCGGTGGGCCCCCCTCTCCCGCACCGCCTCGCGCGCCAGGGAGGTCGGGGCTCAGGTAAAGGAGGTCAGCGCTAACGGGTGTCAGCCAGTCCCCCTTGGTTGACCCGGGTCTGGGAATTGGCCAGGACGTGGTTTTGATTGTGGTGGCTTCCTCCGTCTTTTCCCTTGCACTCCTCCTTCCTCCTGCTCGTTCCCCTCTTCCCGCAATTTAGCGCGCGCAGCTTGTTATCTGCCAGTGCGCCGTCTGGGCGCCAGGCTTGACTGACTGGCTGACTGGCTGACTGGCTGTTTGGCCCATTCTCCCTTCCCGCCCTCCGCTAGCCAGGTCTTGGGAGCTACTAAGCGGCTGGCCGGACTTCGCGACAGAGCCCTTCGCCGACCCAGGTTTGTGTTGACCTGGGTTCGTGATTGCGTCCCCGAGGATGGGGGGAACCGTCCGCGCAGTTCGTTGTTGGAGTAATGGTTCCCACTATCATTCTCGATGTGTGTTGTGCTTCTTTGCTGTTCGGACTTACAATGTTTTGCCACCACGCGCCCTCCATGGGCTCGCCTTCCAGCGCACAGGCTCGACCTTGACGTCTGCTGTTCGATGAAGGAAGGAGCGGAATGGATTCAAACGTTCAGAGGTCCGCGCAGATGTTTTGAATATGATTTCTTGAATCTGCATTGGGCCCGCTCGGCGGCGCCAACAGCGCCGCCCCTTTGCGCGCTTGGCTCGGCGGGGAGGGCGGGGGCAGTTTCGCTCTAGGAGATCCGCGCGGACATCGGATGGTTTGATTGTTGTGCAGTTTTGTCTTCCTCTGGTCATGGGAGCGTTCGCTAGGTCTGCAGCGCAGGCAGGTTGCAAGCATCGTGCAGGGTGCGGCGATCGTATCAGCGCGTGCGGGTGCCCCAGCCGTGAGTTTGTGGGCCCGAGAGCCGCCCACAGAGGCGTCCGTCGCAGCCTACTGCACCGCCCTGGTCGAGAGGAAGGTTGTGCATCGGAGGCGACGGAAGGGGCGAATAGCCCAGGGGCGGGCATTACAGGTATTCGCCCGCGGGTGCCCCCGAAGACATGGACCGTCGGCGCCATTGGATATGTAGCAGCCCGCAATGGCGGATAAGACTGAGGGGGCGGCGAGGACGTCGGCAGTCTGCGAGGCTCTGAAGAAACCCGCCGCAGGCGCCTAATTTTCATAACTTATGCAATGAGCCCGCCGCAGGCGCCGCTTTTTCCTTCAAGCGATGTGGGTGGGTCGCGGGGTGGGTCGCGGGTGGGTCGCGGGCCTGGTCGCGGACTCGAAAGCGAGCTGAGGGACGTAAGGAGTGGAAGCGAGCGTGCGCCCGCGGCCGCGTCGGCTCAACCGGCCGGCCGCCCAAATTTGATTGTGCCTCACTGCGAGGGACACAATCGCTATCGAGACCAAAGGATCTTCTTATTGCTTGAGATGGCGTCCCCTCTCATACTGGGACTATCGCTACTACGGTACAGCCGAGTTGGAGCTTGGCTTCGCCTGAGGCGACGCTGTTGGCTGGGCCTTCCAGCCCCCTTCAAACTTGGCAGCGGAGCTGGCCTATGGTGGTCAGCTCTAGCGCTGCTCCTCTCCATCCACGGCACTATCTGGTGGACTACACATACGGCGGAACATCAGGGTGCAGTTGGATTGCGCGGAGGAGTGTATACAACTACGCAGTAACGCAAGTAGACTTGCAGCGATACTTCTGTCCAAGTGGAGGTCTTTCACACACGAATTACTTCCCTGCGCTATTACAGTCCTGAAGTCCACCCACCTACTCCAATTTGACATTGTTTCGAAGACATAGTGCATGGAAGCATGCGATACTACATACTGCCGCTTCCGACCCCGCGCAGACTTACGACGACAATACATAAGCCCCCACCGACTACATCCGTCCACGACCTACGAGGCCATTGGATTAGGGTTACTATTTTTGGATTCGTATGGGTCGCTATTGGGTGCGCGGTAGGACATATGCGGGGCGGATACGACATTAGAACGACTGGCCCCCAATTGGGACCCTGCCGGCCAAGTACCATTTCGAGAGTTCGTCCGCGAAGTACATGCCTGGATCAATGTGACCACAGGCGACACGACGCCCTCCCAGCAAACCCTCGCGTTGCAGTTGCAGCGAGCTTTGGGAGGTTTCGCGCGGACTATAGCCATGAGAGTCCCCCTAGCAGTTGTTAATTTTGGCGTCAATATAGGCGGTCACCACACCGACGGTGTCACCTACATTATGTTCCTCTTAAGTACGGAGTTCCAGAACCTAGAAGAGGGACGCCAACTCAACTCTGGCACGGTTCTCATTGACTTTCGAGTCCACGCGGGTAAACAGATCGACCAGACGTTAGCACGGTGCGAGATAGCCCATTACGAAGCTGAATCCGCCGGCTTCAAGATCCCCAACTTCCAAACCTTAACTAACAGTAATTATGTTCAGAGCTCTTGGAGTAGGGACATCGCGTGCACAGCAACTCCTGCAGCCTCTGGACCACCACATGCCGAGGGACCAACCGCAATTTGACGCTCTACTTGAACGTATGAGGTCATATGCTCACATGGCTGAGAGGACCCCTGCCAATATTGGTGGTATCCTAGCCACGGTCACCGAACCGAGACCTTCTACGCAGAGGCCAACGCATGGCAACCTGCCAACAACGTTTGGAACGATGATCCACAGCCAACTGAGACCACTACACTGTTGGCTCAGAATGGTTGAGCGGCCTCGGCGTCGCAAGACCCCTTGGCCAGATCTAGGGGACCGCGACTTGGCTACGTGCCAGAATTCTTCAGTCATTCGACTTACGACCCAACGTCTGCTGATCGTCCCACAGCAGCGCCAATGGATCATCCAATCTTTTCTGACTATCGCGCTCAGCTGAGTGGTATCCCCTGGGTGGGAACACAGCCCGAGAACCCATATGTTCGGGCGACGGCCGACGACTTCTACCAGTCGCAGCTTACACGTGGCCCAGGGCATGCATCAGGTGTGCCAGGACAAGTACCTCACTATGGTGATCTGGCTCCCTCCATGGATCAAGATGCGCAGCAACAGGCCCCAGGCCTAGCACCGCCGCCGACCATTGGAGAGCTGCGCCCTGAGATGCTAGCCATACACGAGGCGCAGCAGGCCAATTTGGCCACGCACGCTACTTGCCAGCGCCGAAATCAGGATCGTCAGCCCGACAGAATGCTGAGCCGCGCGGGGCAGCAGGGACACCTGCGAGCAGTCCAGCCATGGTTGCATCAATGCAGCTACCGACAGTATCACCTATTCGGTTCGAAGCTGGTGAGTATTTCCTGGAGCGTCAGACGCGTATCAGGCCATCGGCAACACCGCCCATCATCAGTGACGGCGACTTCGGTAAGTGTGCCATATGCCTGGACCAGTTCATGAACCACGACAAGGTCTGGCGCCTCCAGTGCGGCCGCGTATTCCACGCACAATGCTGGGGTCGAGTGGTACATGCTCATGTGGATAGACAGTTGGCTGGGAACATGGAAGGTTCCGCAAGTGAGGCCCCCCCCTGCGCTATATGCAGGGGTGTTGCTTTCATTCCTGCCGAGTTCCACTGCGCCCTTGCTGGAGATCAGGAGTCACTCAACCGTCATGGAGATATACTCCGAGGGGCGAACGAGCTCAGGGACCTCCGTGAAGAGCTCAACCGCGTTACGGCGATGATGACAGGCACCGTGGCAGTCCCGATCACGACACCAGCGGGGCAACCTGCATCACCAGCCACCGCGGGGCTAGTAACGGAGGCAACCGCACTTGCAGGGACACCTGCTATACACATGCTTATGCCATTGGTGGCAGAGACCGACAACAACGCAGGGGCACCTGCTAGATCAGCTCCACCTTCGGCGCCGGTGAACGACGCGCGGTTGAGGCGCATGGAACGGGCGACCGACAGGAGCGCTCAGTGGCTACAGTCTTCGCACGCATACATGCCAAATGGGCGAGACCTGCGTCCATGTAGTCAGCGCAGGACGGGGGGGCCCTGTAAGCGTGCGCAGTGGTCATAGTGGGATATCCGAACGCGACATGTTGCATGCGGTATTTATGATAAGTACTGATTGCCATATGGGCATGCGCGTGGATGAGGACACGTTCCTGAACTTACCCACTACCTCCACAACACCCATCTACGCATGGCGAATATCCTACAGCCTGGATCTTCGAAAGGAATCCTATTACGGAAGAAGAGGCTCGTGGGTATATCAATGTTTTCGCATCTTCGTCACGAAATGGTTGGGTGTTGGAGCAGAGGCGCCGCGACAGTGTCTGAAGTTCCTGGACTTGTTGGTGAACGCCATGAGCTAGCCTTGGCAGCTAACAGTGGAACTATGATCAATGGTATGTTGACTATTATTCTGGATGTTGGCAGTAATATCAATACTATCGGATTAAAGACGGCACAGACCATTGAGCAGGTATCACGCCCCCACGGACACGCCACAAAAAAGGCTGAACCTCACGAAGAGGCTTTACGTGTCAGGAGGGAAACATGGCGCCGCGATCTGCGATTAATCCCTGCTTTGCAAGATTGCATGCAAAGAAAGGGGAGATCCTGTGGGGCAACCTGCTGCGCCGAGACTCGACACGTACTCAGCACATGTAGCCGAGGGTTCTGGGGAGAATTTCCTTGCCATCCTTGGTCTGAGGGGAATGTCCAACATGGGGGCCATTCTCAAGGGTCGATGTCGCTTACTATCACGGCCAATCC